AAAAGCAAATTGAAGCACAGAGGAGAAGAAAATTGCACATGTGAAGTTTGCTTCTATATGACCAAGAGACCTCCGTGGTTCACGAAGATTTCACAGCCCGTGAACAACCTTAATTGCCACCATAGAAAGCTAAGCTGTTAGTCACAGGCAGCAACGGCAATTCATGTGTGACATCATCAAAAAAGTGGCAAATAAAAAGAGCTCATATTCAAAGTAAATAGGATGGAGTCTGCAATTCATGTGTGACATCAATTCATGGTTATACACATTAACAAGGCTCATTTATATACAAAGTAAATAGGAAACTAAATAACATTTTAAACCTTCTGAATAAATTTGGATGGAGTCTGAAAGACGAATTGGCTTAGTTTGTTAAAATTAGAATTTACTCACTCATCCTTGTATTGAGGACAAGCCTTCTCAAACTATAGCAAGAATCTTTTTCCATTATATTTCACTGATCGAACATTTTTACAATTCAATAGAACTACTACATTAGACTGCAAAATAAAGTGACCAATGGATCAAGCAATAAGTCAGGTGAGGATTATAAATGGGCCATGATTTGTTTTAAAAAAAGTCCAACCGGGTCATTACCCATCAAGTGAGTGAATACCCAATCTACCATTGATCCATTAAGCGAGTGAGCCTCCAATCAATCCAAATTGTCCATTACTCAAATGTTGTAAATAGCATAATTTTAATCATATGTTAAATTTAATTTGAGTGGTGACCAAGGAATGGTGAATTGGGGATAGATGGAAGAGCATTCAAAGAGTGTACATATACCTTTGTAAACAAGAAGTGAGATGGAGCTAGCTTTAGGCTTGTTAAAAATGTTTTGTTAACATGTGATTCAAAGTATATATTAAGGTATAAAAACAGTATTTTTTTTATAATCTTAAAAGATTAAACATTTATACTTTTTATTTAATACGTGTCCTAATGCTAACAAAACTCATAAAAGAAAAATGATATCCTTCATATGCTTGGTTTTGTGCTTTAACTAGAATAGGCAAAACGCCTGTCATCCCAGTTTGGTGCATGAGCTTAATTAAAACTATCATGAGAACAAATGCAAACAATATTAATTTTAAACTAATGGGTTTTTATAATTAACAATCAGACACCAGAATGCTGTGTTTTATTCCTGATCTTCATATGCTGTCAACATCACTGTCTCACAATAACAACCATTAATTAGAATCACAGAAACAAAACCATTAACAATCTAATCAACTTTTTAATCCACTTCCATATATACACGCCCGTGACACACACTAAAAACACCATCCCGTGAATTCAACACTGAATACGTGTCCCCTCTTCCTTACGAAATATGACCTCAAATGTAGTGAGGAAAGGAAAGTTAGAGGGTACCATTTTCTTGGATTTCTGCAGAATCTGCTTAGAACTGCATGTGAAAACATTGTGTTGGAACTATGCATTATAGAAGGAAGTCTCTCTCATCTCATGGCCTATCAATCATGGTGACATTGAACCCCAACATGAAGCCAATGAACCAGTAATTTCACGAGTGTGGCGCGTGTATATAAAGCATGTGCCACGTGTTGTAGCTGATAACCACAAACTCTGCTGTCACCTCAGAGCACAAAAAAAAAGTGCATCATCCCAGAAAATCTCTAGTCATAACTTTTTCGACGTTAAAATTTCTTTTGTTATTTGTTTTTTTGTATCCTCTCACCTGTGACTGTACACACGTGACAGGTTAAGACAAGCATGAATGCATGCCTAATTCTGAATCTTTAACCCTTCTATAAAGTCCCCCTCCCCTCATACACATATTTCACAAAGCAAGTTATTTCTTTTGCATGATAATTTGCTTACACAAGACTAGTTACAAACTTCATGTTATAAATTCCACTGCTTTGGATGGTTGCAGAATCTTCCTGAGCTCAGATAAAAAGAGAAGAAAAAAAAAAATTACACCCCGCATCATCAGGTGAAGTCACGATGTCCATTTGATTTTTCAATGTTTTTTATTTGCTTGATTGGTCGTGGAATATATATATGATTCTTTGACACCGGTGTCTAATTTTGAAATTTGACACTGGAATCTTATCCGTTAATTTCGCTAATCAATGGTTATGATTTATTGGAAATCAAACTTATTAATTTCGAATAGATAATAACATATGATTGACGGAAATCAAAGGTTAGGATTTGGTGTCAAAAGATCCTATCATATATATATATATATGGATCATGAAGTCATACGAATTAATTACACTACAAATGATAACCGATGATTTCCATCCATTGAGATGTAGTCTTACACCGGTGTAAAAAAATACTTCCCATATATATATATATATATATATATATATATATATATATATATATAGACCCCCTCCTTCTTTTTTTTGGCATTAAATCATTCAGGATTTGATTCCACCCGTGAATGTGTTGATTCTGTTGTCGCGTACCAACTATATGCTCCCTCGGCTAGACAACAACAAAGAGTCATGATATCATTGCTTTTACATCAAAATCACATTCACCCAATTTACACTTTTTTACATGGAGGAAAGAAATTTGGTAATGCAAAAAAATATACTAGTATAATACTTCCTACAACATTCACCCAATCACATAGTTATAATATTAAATGTTATTTTTTTTTCTTTTTCTCATAAGGCTGTCGAGTGACGTGGCTGAATAAAAAAAAATAATTTTAATATTATAACTATGTATTGTTATAATCTGTAAGATGATCATATTTTCCTTCCTACAACATGATTATTATATTTCCCCTTTTATATTCCTCTCATCCTCATAGCATAGTGTTTTTTTTTTCCACAACTATTTGTTAGAAAAATATAAAATTATTGATAAATTTTTACTTTAACAACTTAAGCTTTTAGGTGGAATGAGTTTATCATGAAGCTTCATAACTACCTGGTTACAAATTCGATTCTCACCGCCCCACTTTCTAATGAAATTAAGTCAACACAAATTAAGTAAAACAAAAATAAATAGCTTCATGCAATATTCACGTTTCAAGTCCAAAAGTCCCTCGAGTGAAGAGGTGTGTTAGAGTTAACAATCTAAACTTTTAGGTATAATGATTGATGACAAGCAAATAATTTAGTAAAAAACAATGGAAATTAATGGGTGTAATAGTACATAGATTATGTGTGTAATATCTGGATTGCCTTAAATTGAGTAAAATGCACCGAGGATGAGGTAATAAAACATTTAATCAGAAAGTTAGTTACCTAATGTAGCAACCAAGAGAAAGTTTCTTATTCATATATAAAATGGAAAGGTAAATTTTGTTTAACTATAACTAGAGAGGTGGTTGTGAACTTGTGATTCATTATGTAAGTTCAATTGTTTTTTGTCTTCCTATAGCTAGGTTTCATATGTTCACGATTCCCATGACGGCTTAGCTTTCTTCTTTTTTAATATCTGCTACTTTGTTATTTACAGATCTGGTCCTAACATATAGCCATAATTCACATGCAATATCTTATATACTATTGATTTTTCAATAGCTGCATGATCATTTAAGTTAAAATCCACAGAGAAAGATGTCATATAACCGGACAAAATATGCTAAAAACCCAAATTTCATTTTTTAGAATTATTTTGATCATTTTCTTGGACAGGATATACGCGTGGCTTCTACTCATCTTTATTCTAATTTAATATGTGTCTAGCTTCGACTTAAAATACTCACTTTTTTCTTAAGGTGGTGTTTGGTTGGGAATGTTTTAGGGGATATCTATCTATGACTTTTAGAAACACCATGTTTGTTTCAACGTTTTTCACCAAAAACCCATCTATCCAATTTGTCTGGATTTATGAGAAACATAGATATCCGCACTGTTTAGAAACCCAATTTGAAGGTGGGATTTTTCGGCAAACCGATTATCTGGCTTTTAATGCACTGTTGATTTCATAAAGTTACCTAATTTTTCCAATAAAGTTTTTCCCCACCAAACAACTTTTTTTTACATTTTTCTACCTATCTCACTTTATCTATCTTTCCAATCATTTCTTTGTCTATCTCATTTCCCTACTATTCCAAAAAAATTTCCTCAACCAAACGCCCCCTAAAGGATCAAATATATTTTGTTTAGTTAATTACCACAAAAGAACTTATTATTCTCATTTTTTTACCTAAGCTATCAGTTATAGGCTTATGGAAATAGATCCTCTCATGTGGAAAAAGATACGAGATAGTCATGTAAAAAGATGGTAATCATATAAAGGTAAATTAATGGTTATGATTTTGTAACTATCTATTTTAATATTTTTTTTCTTTTCTTTTATTACTATTGATCCACCTTTGTATGGTTATAATTTTTTACACGATCATGTCATATATTTTTTTCACACGACATTAGACAAATATGCTTAGTTTATGGAAGTAATCAATTGCCGCAATTCAACCACTTGAAACTCAACATGCCACCTTAATGGTAAGAGTTTTATTCTATGTACTGCAAGCAACGCATTTCTCTTCTTTAGATCTTAATTAGAGAAAAATATGGATAAACAGAATTGGAATAAAAAAAAAAAGAAAAAAAAGAAATAGAACTATGGTTGGTGTCGGAACAATTTTGTAGAAAACTTGAACCTCAAAGGAGCTGAACACACACTTGAAAGTTGTTCGGAGTGCAGTTTTTAAAAAACAAATATACAGAATACAGAACAACAGAAACGAAGAAGTAAGAAGAGAACGAAGGTATCACATCATGGACCACAAAACATTGAAAAGGTTACAATAAAAAAAAAAAAAAAAAAAAGCTGATAAGAAAAATGGGGTTGGAGAACAAAGAAACCGTGCAAGGATTACTACAGAACACTGATCTCCAAAAGGGCCTCTAAAAACTTCCAACTGTTTTCCTTGAGACCCTTGAGACTTTTAATCAACCATGAACCAACACGTGTCCACCTTATGCTTGAAAATTTATTCATGAGCTATATTAATTTTGAGTATAAATAAGAACCTTTGCTTTAGGATGGTCCTTACTAGGCCAACTTGCTTCGAATCCTCTTGAGGTTCTCTTACTTCAATCTCCTCCATTTTATCTGAGTCAATAAGATTTCTGAAGCTGGAGTTTTGTATTTTCTATCTGCAGATTATCATACTGGGAGAAATTTGTGGCTTCACATAATTGGTTACAAACATTGTTATTTCAGTGTCAATATTCTTAAACTCATCATGAGTCTCATTCGTGGGTCTTTTATCCTATGGATTACCATGATTTTTTTTATCCATAATTTGTGTAATGTGGAAGGAAGATACCACCATCACAAGAAGCAGAATAAAACTTCACCTGCTCTTGAGCCTCCTTCTAATTCCCCTTCACCCCCTTCAAATTCTCCTAGTGTCCCCTCTGATCCATATCCAAATGATCCTGGGGACTCCCCTTCAAACTGCATTTTTGACGTAAGATCCTTTGGAGCAATTGGAGATGGTTCAGCTGATGACACAGCTGCATTCAGGGAAGCATGGAAAGCAGCTTGTGAAGTAGAATCTGGGGTTGTTCTAGCTCCAGAAAATTACTGTTTTAAGATCACTTCAACTATTTTTTCAGGTCCATGCAAGCCAGGACTAGTATTTCAAGTGAGAATGCTTGTTAAATTTCCTAGTTTATCACTTCTTTTCTTTTCTTTTTTATTATAAATAAACATGTAGAATTTTCTTTCCTATGTTCCTATATATAGCTAGCACATTAACAAGGTTCAAAAATGTATATAGGTGGATGGTACTCTCATGCCACCAGATGGACCAGATTCTTGGCCTGAGACAGATAGCAAAAATCAATGGCTAGTGTTTTATCGACTTAATCAAATGACCCTTAATGGGACAGGAATCATAGAAGGCAATGGGGAACAGTGGTGGGATATGCCTTGCAAACCTCACAGGGTAATTATATCATTGAAACCATTATTGTTGTATTTATTTAATGTTAAATGAAATCAAAATAACTGCTAGTAAAAAATGGCTTTTCAGGGTCCCAATGGAAAAACTGTATCAGGATCATGTGAAAGCCCAGCAGTGAGTAAACTATTCAGAATTCAGCTCAAGTATTAGAAAACATTTTATACTTTTTTTTTTTTTTTCCACTTGTAACTGTTTCCTTGTTTTTTTTTCTTTTTTTGGTAGATGATACGGTTCTTCATGAGTTCCAATTTGGTGCTGAGTGGGCTAAAAATTCAAAACAGTCCTCAGTTCCACGTGAAATTCGATGGTTGCCAAGGTGTAATGATCGATAAGTTGTCCATTTATTCGCCTAAACTCAGTCCCAACACTGATGGAATCCACTTACGAGACACGAGGGGTGTTGGGATATATAACACTATGATAAGCAATGGTAAAGACTAAAGATCAATGTCTTACTTGCTCAATATGGCAGTTTGGTTATAAGTTTCTTATGTATGTCACATGAGTAGTTATAGAAGAACATGATTCTTGAACAGGTGATGATTGCATTTCCATTGGACCCGGGTGCTCAGATGTGGACATACAAGGTGTAACTTGTGCTCCTTCCCACGGGATTAGGTAATGTTACATAATTTCTTTCTTTTCAAAGTTAACTTGGGTTGTTAACTACCAGTTAATGTTGATTAGTGAACAAAGAAATTAAAATAAACCAATTGATGCTTATGATATTCATCCCTACAGTGATTCTAGAACAATCTCTAAGGTAGTGTTTGGTTGAAGGTTTATTTTAGGATTGATGGGAAAGTGTAGGTGGATATTGGAAAATACCACGTTTGGTTCAGGTTTTTTCAAAAAATACCAGACAAATAGGATAGATGGAAAAATGACTTTTGTGTTGATTTTTGGATGAAATTCACTGTTACAGAATACCACTTGAGATGTGGTATTGTGAGATGACTGGAGAAGTGAAAAAACAGGTGCAAAGTTTCTCCCGAACATAGATTTTGCATATTTAAATAAATTTCCCTGGTAATATTTGGGTCAACCAAACAACTTTTTATACATTTTCCTATCAAACTCACTTTCCAACCATTTTTCTATCAATTACATTTCCCTAGTAAAAAATTTTTTCTCCCGAACCAAACACTACCTAAAGGCAAAATGAATTAAATGAGACTTTAGCAGAGGAGGATGGGCACAATTGGTTAAGGATCATGTAACGGCGTGAATTCGAATTTCATTGGTTGATGTGAAGACCTTATTAGTATAATTCCTCTCAGAAATCCTCAAATAGGTTTGGGAGGGTCGGTTTGCTTTAGCCGTACTGCGATATCAGTATCTAATCCCATCTAAACTTTTTTACAACAAAAAAGTAAAAAGTGACTCTAACCATTATAACTCATCTTCATCTAAAAAAATAATGGAGAAGGGTTTGGAATTGAAATGTTTCAATTCAACCTTCAATTGATCTTCACCAATTCTCCTGAAAGAAAGGCAGGTCACACGTGTTATTTTCTTCTTTTTTGTGATCTATATAACTATATTACTTTAACAGTTGGAACGGTTCAAACTACCAATCATTAATATGACATCAATATTTATTCTTCACTTTTTTCTCAAAGCTATTTTGGAACCTTTATAAAGTGCCAAGTTTCTATGAAGCTAATTTCAGCATATTTCACTAAATGTGGTCATTTTGTACATACAGCATTGGAAGCCTTGGAGTACACAATTCCCAGGCATGTGTCTCTAACTTAACTGTTCGTAACACTAACATAAGGGAATCAGACAATGGAATCAGGATTAAGACATGGCAAGGTGGTACAGGCTCAGTGACAGGCTTGAAATTTGAGAACATCCAAATGGAGAATGTCAGGAACTGCATCATTATAGACCAGTACTACTGTTTGTCCAAGGAGTGTCTGAATCAAACTTCAGCAGTACATGTAAACGATGTGTTATACAATAACATAAAGGGTACTTATGATGTGAGAACCCCTCCTATACACTTTGCTTGCAGTGACACTGTTGCCTGCACAAACATAACACTCTCTGAGGTTGAACTTTTTCCACATGAAGGGGAATTACTTGATAACCCTTTTTGCTGGAATGCTTATGGAACTCAGGAGACCATGACTATACCTCCAATTGATTGCTTAAGAGAAGGTGTGCCTGACACTGTGGTAGACCTCTCTGCATATGAATGCAGTTAACATATTACTTTAAATTGTGGTTGCTTATATTGTTATATGGAAGTCATATTATATAGTACTTGTATAGAGCCTAATTACTATGGGTTATGATTGTGGTCTTATGTTTGTTACTTAGGATTCATCCCTATTTGGGGTATACCCGTAGTGTGTGATGAGTTATGAGATATAGAATTTAGAGGGTGTATTGGATTGAGATTTCAAAGGATTTTAATGGATTGTATTTGAATAAAAAAATCCGTTGGTATTCGATTAGGATTTTATTGGATTGAAAAAAAGTCACGTGGTATTCGATTAGGATTTTAAAGGATTATTTTAGAATCCGTCCAAATCTGTTGGTATTCAATCAGGATTTTAAATAAAGGAATCACAATCTCGTTGTATTCAAAAATTCGACGATTTTAATGGATTTTCTATTGGTGTGGATTTCGTAAGACTTTTTAGTGAAAAATATAAATAGGATGACTCTCTCACAATCTCATCCTAACCCCTAGGATTTCTTGAAATTCTTCTATTGCAGTGTTTTCTTCTTCCTTTGGCAGGTTGACTATTCGAAATCGGGTTCCGCCATGGGAGCTTCATAAAAACTAAAAAAAAGCATATTTTTGAGGTATTTTCATCACAAAACATTCCAGAAAAAACAAACCAACAAGATTTTAATATATTAGTAATTTTTAAAACCCTCGAACCAATTTTCGTTTTACATGAATAAAACAATATCAATTTAAAGAAAGATTGAAACTTTCATAATATGAACCCTATATTTCATAACAATACATTCATGAACGAAATTCTTTCACTATAGAAAACGATTTCAAACAATTTTTGTGTCAATAGATAACTAAAAACTTGTTTCTCAAAAATTCCAAAGCAATTTAAGGTTTTAATGTATTGACTGAAAAAAATTTGAATTTTTTTCTAAACTTTCATGTAATTAAACCCAAAATTTCAGATTCAAAATTTTCTTAGAATATTCAATGAAAATATGCATATGATATATGGTTAGAAAACTCTCATCACGTAAAATAAAAACCCCAAAATTTCCAAGATCAATTGCAAAAAATTACAAACGAAATTTTATCATGAACTTTAGGTTCTATATGCAAATTTAGAATTATTTTTATAATTAAAAAAATTGGGTCTTATAATCGTATATGCATAACTTTGATACCAAATGTAAAAGATAATTTTCAACCCATTAGATATGTGAAAAGTTGTTGTTTAGTAATTTTGAATGTTTGTTAAAAATTATATTATGTTTTACTGATTGAGAAAAGGGTTCGCTTTTTCTGCAGTTACTGCAGATAACTTATCTGTAGTAAGCCCAATATGACGTCGTTTTGGACGGAAATCATGGTATTTTTATAATTTTAATTTTTTTCAGGGTTATAATAGTCTTTGGATTTATAATTTTTTCAAGATTTCAATACAAAAATGACGTCGTTTTGGGAATAAATGCAGATAATTTATCTGCATTAACTGCAGAAATATTTTCCCCTTGAGAAAATTATATTAAGTTTTATTTTTTTTTATTAATTTCATTGCATTTCTTTGTTATTTTTTTATGGAGAATATTATACTTACGACCTATTTTTGTTTACAACCTTTTACAACCATATCTTAACCGTTGATTTCCGTCAATCAATGGTTATTATTTTTGCAAATCAAACTCAAACTCAATGAGAAAATTATATTAGATTATATTAGTAATTTTTGAGATAATTTTCAACCCGTTTTTAAGTTTCCTTTTTTTTATTAATATCTTTGCATTTCTTTGTTATTTATTGGTATTGACTCTTGTAATTTTGAATATTTGTTAAAAATTCATATAATTTTTTAAAATTTTATAAATTCATATTGTCCTTTCAAATCTTATAAATTCTATTAACATCCTTTAAAATCCAATCCTATGAAATCTTGATTGTAAAAAAAGCCTTTTAAAAAAGTCTATAAAGTCTCTCCAATTCTAAATTGTCTTTTACAATCTGTAGGATTTTTTATCTTAAAAAAATCTTTTAAAATCCTAATCCAATACACCCCTCAGTCTATTTTTTTAGACTTATATTGTAATAGTTTGATTGGCCATTTATATATTATATTACTTTTCAAATACCTGCTTAGGTTTCACTTCAAACGAGTTTGAAATTAAGTAATAATGTTCATATTGTCAACACGCTCCTGCATATAAGGAGTAACTCAATAGAAGCAATTATTTTTTTTTAACAAATAAAACAGACTTCAACAAAATATTTCTTAACAGAATAAAACAATTTAGTTTATGGGTAGATTTTAAAATCAGGTAAATATAGAGAAGGTCAAAGTAATTTACTCAAAATAATTTAGTAAGGATATTGCTAAAAAATGAAATATAAATTGTGAGCGGTTATATTTTAGTCTTGCCATTTTTATAACGGTAATAAAGCTAAACAGGTAGTAATCAAAGAGATAGTAAAAGTAATAAAGCTAAGTTGTATGCATTTTATTAGTGTGTTTGTTACCTTATTTTATTAGTGAGTGTTATAGTTAGCAATAAGTTATATGCATTTTTTTTTTTTTAGCCATCCTCATTTTAACATAGTCTACTATGGCGTATATTTTTTTTTCATAACTCATCGAGTAGAGAACTACATTTGATTTGAATAGTATTGATCACTCTGAATAGCAAAAATTTTTTTATGGTTGATATTTGCAAAGTTCTGTGTCAATGCTATAGTTTTTTCCTCCTGAAATATAGAACAAGATAGCAACACAAGTTTTTGTTAACCAACCACGACGGACGATAAATATTTCATTCTTTTTGACCCGAGCGCACCATATAAATTAGGATAAATATTTTTAAAGTTCTATCTTCTATGAAGGAAAAAATAAGATAAATTAGGAGTGCACTCTTGTCTGCTTCTAGTACCATAAAAACGCCGAGTCGTTTAATTGGGCCAGAAAAAACGCAGTCTCTCTTTTTCTCTTCTTTGCTTTGCTCGTGGACACTCTTCCTCATCTCGGCGGATTCAGAAGTTGATTTTGATATTTGCATAATCAGTATCAGGCAAGTGCCCATGTTCCCAAATCGTTATTCGTGTCGTGGGTTTCATGCAATGTTTTCGTTGGACCAAATTTGCTTTTCTGCCTCGAAACTGTTCGATGAATTGTCTCTGTGAGGTTCTAGAATTTGAGTTGTGGGGGATTTTGTTTAGCAGGGTCTATAATTTTGAAAATGCCGTCCCTTCAAACTGCACTACCTCCTGAGCTCGCCAACAATGCCATTAGGGTCTGATACGAAACCTTCTTTTTCTTCCATTCAATTCAATGAAAGCCCTGTGTTTGTGTTCGAAATTTTGAAATTTTGTGCGTAATAAAAATATCTCTTTTTTGCTTTTCTATGGATTTTGTTTTAGCTTTATCGTGAATGCCTGCGAAGAGCTAAATATATTGGTCATCGGGTACGTGATTCTCTCTATATCTATCTCAATTAGCTTTATTGGGGGCCGTTGCTGCCAGCATCATTTAAATAGAATATATGTGAAAAATTCCCCATTTGCAATGATGGGTTTCTTGTTTTCAAATTATGAGTTTTTTGCTAAAAAAGTTTTACCAATTGCGTATGTGTCAAGTTTGTGATGTGTGTTTTGTGAAGACATGTAATTGATGTCCAAATTATCACATTTAGATGTTGAGGTTTAACATGTTGGACATACTCAGATCCTTTGAGCACACAGCATCATTTACTTGATTCAACTGTCCTTTCGTATGCTTGTTAAACTCTTCATCTATGATCGTGGGATGCTTCTTCATTGCGGTTACTGTCTTTATACAGCTAGTAATTCACTCCTTCTGCTGAAGCACTGTACTTGTTATACTAAATATATAAACTGCTCGTGTGATAAAACCAAGATGCGTCAAACTGATTACGCTTTATGCCTGCTTGCTGTTGCAGCAACATAACACGGAGCTTCTTGTTGATATGGTGAGACAACAGTTTAAGAAACACATGCATGAGACAGATCCCGAGAAGATTCAAAAGATGAAGGATGAGTAAGCTTGTGATCTAGTATATTTCATTTATATTTTGCATGTTTTCTAGATTCCTAGTCTATTCTGTTCCTGTTTTTTCTTTTGTTCCTTTTCCCCTTAATAGATGCAATACCTTTATGATGTCTCCATGCACAAAAACATGCGCGTTTGTGTGGGAAATTTATATTTAATTATTTATACATAGGTTGGTTTTTCTGAGGACAAAACATTTCTTTTTCTTTTTTTTCTGGTTTTGTAGTGCTGCAAGGGGACTTATCAATCACATACTGTACGAGTCAGAGCAAATGTCTGGTCGTAAATTTAGCAAGAGTCCTCCTAAAGCTGCTTAGTTTGCTTTATTCCAAATGATTCAGTTTGTCCATCAGTACAAGGTTTTGCGGATCAAACATGTAGAAGAAAACCTTCCAAGGTGTTTATGATGTAACATGTTAAACTGTTGAAATAAAAAAATTGTGGAAAATAGCGGGATGGCTTTTTTTCTGTTACTCTTTTTCATATCAAGAGTCCTTAAATTTCGTATGACTACTTTCTAGTTTCTACCAAATGATTCAATATCTCTATCAACTCAAGGTTTGGCAAATAATGATTCCAGAACACCCTGCCTTCTTGTGGGTGATTCTTTTGACTTTTGTATCAGTGCAGAACTAATAACTAAACCTGTGGAGGAAATAGCAGTGATCATTCATTATATATATATGTTCATTATATATATATATATATATATATATATATATATATATATATATAGGGTTTTATAAGTGTTTTTAATGAAAAGTGATTGCGTAATGTTATAGAGATTCGTTTTGCGTGCAGTGATTTCTTTTTTTTTTTTTCTTCAAAAAATGTGGACCCCACAAAATGTTGTGTGTAGGAAAGTTTGTTGTGTAATGTTAAATGACAAATGCAAACCCCGTATATATATATATATATATATATATATATATATATATATATATATATATATATATATATATGGGGCAGGATCCTTTAACACTGATGTCAAACTTTGAAATTTGACATCAAATCTTAACCGTTGATTTTCGCCAATCAACGGTTATCATTTATTAGGAATTAAATTTATTAATTAATCATTAATTCACAATAAATAATAATCGTTGATTGGCATAAATCAACAGTTAGGATTTGATGTCAAATTTCAAAGTTTGACACCGGTGTCAAATTTAAATGTAGAAAATTAGAATTCAAACATGTTTCCGTTTTTATTTCCTATTAATTAGGATTGATTATGATTGATTAGGATTGATTAGGATTGATTATGATTGATTAGAATTGATTGTGATTAGGATTGTGATAGGATTGATTAGTCATCGCTTAGTCATTCTTAGCGATTCTTTCTTGTATAAATACTCACTCATGTAATTTATTCAATATCAATATACAAAAACTTCTTTTCAATATGGTATCAGAGCGGGTTCGTTCCTACCCTAATTCAAATCTGAAATAACCATCCAAACACTTCCATCACCGTCAAACACCTCCTAAACACTGCCTTGAATCTGTCCAACACAGAAACCTAGTTTACTGACCTCCGATCAAAAAAGTGAGGTGACCATTCGACTCAGAAGGATCCGACGAGTCGACCGCCGCTGGACCCATCGCCGTCAGCCGCTGCACGCGCCACCACGCGCCGCCTTCCAGACGTTTTTTTTCCGTCGCGACTTGCACAGACCTTCTCGCCGGCTTCTCCCCTTCCTGTTCCAGAGGTCAGATCAAAAGTTTACAAAACTTGATTTTTCATCAACGGTCAACCCTTCTCTTTTTATTCATGGCTTCCTCAAAACACTCTTTTTATTACCACGAGCAACCTCCTAAGGCCACTAGTCATGTGGTCCAGCAAGGTACAACTTTCCATGTTGATAGTCAAAATCATTGGATCCTTGATTCTGGAGCCTCTGATCATATGACAGGTAATCTTGGCTTGTTTTGTTCATACACTCCATATTCTGAACCTTCTCGGGTCAAGATCGCCGATGGCAGTTTTTCCCAGATTGCGGGAAACGGCACCATTAAACTTTCTGAGCTGATTACTTTGACATCAGTTCTTTATGTTCCTTCTCTGACTTGTAATCTCATTTCCATTAGCAAGCTCACCTCTGAGTTGCATTGTTTTGCTAAATTCTTTCCACATGGTTGTGTTTTTCAGGAACAGGACTCGGAGAGGATGATTGGCAGTGCTAGAGAGGATGGTGGACTTTACTACTTTGAGGAGGATGTGACTCATGAAGCTGTTTTCGTAAAAAAAAACTCTATGTTTCCTTTTGATTCATGTAATGATGTTATGCTGTGGCATCGTAGGCTAGGCCATCCAAATTTTATTTATCTTCAGAAGTTGTTGCCAAACTTATTTATTAATAAAAGTCCAAGTTTGTTTTCTTGTGATATTTGTCAACTTGCCAAGCATACTCGTGCTCATTATCCTTCTAAAGTTCACCATGACTCTTCCCCATTTTCCTTAATTCATAGCGACATATGGGGTCCAGCCCGTGTTAAAAATATTTCAGGTACTCGATGGTTCATTACCTTCATTGATGACCATTCTCGAGTTTGTTGGGTGTATCTTCTAAAGGATAAGTCCGATGCTGCATTCGTGTTTAAAAAATTTCATGCCATGGTTCAAACCCAATTCCAAGTTGCTATACAAATTCTTCGTACAGATAATGGCAAAGAGTATTTTAACTCTATTCTTGGAGAATATCTTTCCCAACATGGCATCCTTCACCAAAGCTCGTGTCCTGACACACCCCAACAAAACGGAGTTGCGGAAAGAAAAAACCGACATCTCCTTGAAGTTGCTCGGGCTCTTATGTTTACCACGAGTGTTCCTAAATATCTTTGGGGAGAGGCAGTTCTCACTGCCTCGTATCTGATAAATCGAATGCCATCTCGCATTCTGAAATTTCAGTCTCCTCTTTCTAGTCTTGTTCGTATCTTCCCTTCCTTCCGAGGTGTCTCCTCCTTACCTCTCAAGTTATTTGGTTGTGTTGTATTTGTCCATATTCCCTCCCATCAACGGTCTAAGCTTGATCCTAAGTCTCTCCAGTGTGTCCTTATTGGTTATTCTCCTACTCAACGTGGCTATAAGTGTTATTCACCCTCTCTTCGTAAGGTCTTTGTCTCTATGGATGTCACTTTTTCTGAGAATGACCCTTTCTTCCCCTCGACTTCTCTTCAGGGGGAGTCTATAGGAGTAGATGAAGATCAGTCATGGGAACCTATTAATGCCACAGTATTACCTCTACTTTTAGAAACAGGGGGAGCTACAGAATGGGGACAAGTCTATAGCAGGCGAAAGCCTCCTCAAAGTGTGAATAACCCAGAGCCTCTACACTGCCAGGATTCTGAACCATGTTCTAGTTCCAGCACCCCAATACTTGAGTGTCATGGTGAAAATGATCTACACTTGCCCATTGCTCTCAGAAAAGGTACTCGATCTTGTACTACTCATCCTATTTCTAATCATATTTCATATGGAAAGTTGTCCCCAGGGTTTCGTGCTTTCAATACTATGTTGGATAGTACAAAGATACCGAGAAATATACATGAGGCTCTCAATGATAAAAAATGGAGGGATGCTGTCTTTGAAGAAATGAATGCTTTAGAAAGAAATGGAACTTGGGAGATAGTGACCCTACCCAAAGGAAAAAAGGCAGTAGGATGCAAATGGGTGTTTACAATAAAATTCAATGCAGATAATAGCATCAACAGATACAAGGCAAGATTGGTTGCAAAGGGTTTCACTCAGACTCATGGGATAGATTATCATGAGACTTTTGCTCCGGTTGCTAAAGTCAATACCATCCGAGTTCTCTTATCTCTTTCTGCCAATCTAGATTGGCCTCTGCAACAGTTAGATGTGAAGAATGCATTCCTAAATGGTGACTTACATGAAGAAGTCTATATGGATCCTCCACCTGGTTTTGAAAAGGGAAATGGATCAGTGTGTAAACTAAAAAAGTCTCTATATGGATTGAAACAGTCTCCCAGAGAATGGTTCGACAAATTCACACAAGCAGTCAAAAGAAGAGGCTTCATTCAAGCACAGACTGATCATACTCTCTTCCACAAACACTCTACACTGATGCAGATTGGGCAGGCTCATCAGTAGACAGGAGATCTACCTCAGGCTATTGCACCTATGTGTGGGGAAATCTTGTTACTTGGAGAAGCAAAAAACAAACAGTGGTTGCAAGAAGTAGTGCTGAAGCAGAATTTCGAGCTTTATCTCATGGAGTTTGTGAAGGAATCTGGTTGAGAAGACTTCTTCAAGAGTTGAAGATTTCATATTCCCTACCAATAAAACTATATTGTGACAACAAGGCAGCTGTTAGCATTGCTCAAAATCCTGTGCATCATGATCGAACAAAGCACGTGGAAGTTGATCGTCACTTCATCAAAGAAAAATTAGATGATGGAAGTGTGCATTTGATATATGTTCCAACCAAAGAGCAAACGGCAGATGTCCTTACCAAGGGCCTACACCGTCCAGCATTCGAAGACTTGATTGGCAAGTTGGGAATGATCAATATTTACCTCCCAACTTGAGGGGGAGTGTAAAAAATTAGAATTCAAACATGTTTCCGTTTTTATTTCCTATTAATTAGGATTGATTATGATTGATTAGGATTGATTATGATTGATTAGGATTGATTATGATTGATTAGAATTGATTGTGATTAGGATTGTGATAGGATTGATTAGTCATCGCTTAGTCATTCTTAGCGATTCTTTCTTGTATAAATACTCACTCATGTAATTTATTCAATATCAATATACAAAAACTTCTTTTCAATATTAAATTTTGACGCCTCATCTAAGAACTGTAAGATCAAAAAAAATCATTGGTGTCACATGCTTACAAATTAGAGTCGTCGATTTTTTTTTATCTAATGGTTCTTAAATGAAGTGTCAAACTTTAAATTTGACACTGGTGTCAAAGGATCCTACCTCATATATATACAAGTGAATCAATGATTAAGATTGAGTGTAAGACTTCTAACTCTTACACTGGTGTAAGAATATCCTGCCCCTATGGGGGTCAGGATCATTTTACACCAGTGTAAGTTACACTCTCAATCTTGACCATTGATCTTACTTATATCTACGGGCTCTAATTTTTTAGTAATGTGAGTCATTGGATACAAGTGAATCAATGATCAAGATTGAGTGTAAGACTTCTAACTCTTACACTGGTGTAAGAATATCCTATCGCTATATATATATATATATATATATATATATATTTCCTGTTTACATTGATAAGCTGTGTATGATACATGATAAAGATGCCAAAGTCGAAGTCAAAACCAAGAGATTGTGTTAAAACCGCATGAATGAGAAAGCCCAGAGATAGTATGGAAAAAGAGAAGAAATTAATAGAAACTGTTTTAATAGCTGAATCTTTACAGATAAAAAAGGGGGAAATGTCCTTCAACTTTTTCTTCCAAGGCTCTGTTTTTTCAATGCTAACCACTCTCCTTTCCACCTTTCCTCTTATATAAGCTAAATTCCTATCCTTCCAAGTTCCAACCTCTCTAACCAACTGTTTTAACTAATTATGATACTTTACTGCAATTAGCTTGTAACTAACTGTTGTTATTTTGCAATCTCTATCATACTGTGGCATTATTATGTTCCAGATTTTCACGTGTAATACAATTTTACAATTCTAACTTCCCGGGATTGTCTCACTTTTGGGCTTCTGATAGTAGGATTGTTTTGGAGGTTGGTAATAAAAATTATATTTTTTGGTTTTCTCAGTGGCGTAGAAAGTTTTGTCACATATTTGTTTGAATTTTACATTCGTCTTGAAGAGTATTCAATTTGTAAAATACAGTGGATTACCTTTTCTTTATGACTAAAAATGTAATTTGGGGGAAATCCTTTAACATCAAAACAAACCAAGATTTTTTTAAAAAAAAGGCTCAGCATACTTGGCATAGGCGTTAACCAGGGCTCCACAGTTGCATTTACTAACAAATCATAGACGTTAACCATTCTTACCATACAGTTGTTCGACAAAATAAAAAGGCGAGAGAACTCTTGTTACTAATTATTCACTGCACTAAATAATTTATATTTTAGCAATTTCCTTTGTCAAGAATCAGATGTTAAAACCAGTGAGGGGCATGCTGCTACCTTTGCTGGCAATCCTTGTATTATATAGGCACAGAAACCAATCAAAAATTATATATCAGTGTTCAACCATCTTTCCTCAAATTTGATGACTTGATGGAAGACTTGTGAACTCTTTGGATGGGGTAGTAGCAGAGCTCATCATCACCTTTGGACTGCAAACACGTCTAAACTCACCCCGGCTTCTAGTTATTATTCCATCAAGAATCTCTCCATCATCTGCAAAGGAAGTTGTACTGCTCAAGTCCCTTTCCTGCATAAACACAGCAAGCATGGAAGACAGAAGAAACCTAAGTTGTGCATCAACCTAAAAGTAGTTATGCCAATAGCAAGAAAAAAAATAAAAAGCTTTGTACAATTAGCATATTCTTAAGAAACCTAAATCATTAAAAAACTTAGTGCAACTACTGATATCGGTGTCATTTATGTTCATGCAATTCCATGACAAAGAGGCATAAATAGTTTGAATGCATTCATCCATTTCCTTCTGCCAAGAGACGAAGCCCTAGGAATGTAGCTAAATAAAAAGGTGAACTTTGCTCTGGTATTGAAGACTTACAGTAGCTAGGTTCAATGGTAAAGCTGGTACTTCTTCATATTCTGCAGCATCTAAATCTTGAAGATGTGCCCCTTTGAAAAACTTGGGCAGAATGTATTGTCTTACAGGAACCAGAAGCATGATCATCAATGGGAATAGAACCCCAGCTAATGGAACCCAAGTAATACCAAAACAAACAAGCAAGTAAGCAGTCTGGAAGAGTGTAAACGCTGCAATTGTCTTGAAAGGTACGGTTTCCACATAAGTTGCATGGCACTCCTCCAGAACTCTTTATAATTATTTTAAGACACCATTAAAAAAAAAAAAAAAGCAGCAGCAAGTCAGTAAATGCAACTCATTAAATTTTCTGGAGAAGAGAAAACATAAACAGACAGGAAATGATGTTAAGACAATACTTGTATCTTCTGCTTGGAGCAGTAATAGTTAACAAAATCCGTTCCCAGAACTGGTTGCCAGGTAAGTTTTCAATGGCCATGAAAGCAAAATAGCCCCAGAGTACAGAAGTTGGAATCATTTTCAGGAAAGGCATTGCTGCTACACATCCTCCTACCATTAAAGATTGGAGCAAGTTGCTCACTCGTTGTTCTTTAACCTCAACAGGCAATAAGTCATCAATTTCCTTCTCAACATCAAATATTGACTCATCAACTGGAGCATTTATATTTCCCATGCTTGATGCCAATTGAATAGTTGACTCTTTCATTTCTTTTAATCCCTGTCAAAACAAGTTTAGTCAAGGTCGGATGATAATATGGTATGCTACTTCCTGTATGGACAAGAGACTATCAGAATAAAGTTCAGTTTGTTAAAACATTAAAACATGACATGATGAAAGATTCTATTGCATCACTCCTAGAATAGGGCACTTCCAAAACACAAAGCATAACTTAGGAATTAAATGCCTGAAAATTTTTTATCAACTTAAATTTGTCCAGTATTGAAGAGTAGTCATGCCATATAGGTGAAAGGGAGAAGAAATGAGAGTGATAAAAAATCCACAACCCCACATACCCGAGAAGAAGGTTCCTGGTGAGTTAGAGGGGTTTGCATCTGCCAGTAAGCATCTTGCATACTTCCATATACTTGACCCAAGCTTTCTTGCTTTCTCATACAACTTCGAGCGGTTGCAACCAGCCGGTTTCTAAGTAACTGCAAATCACCCAAATACAAGGATGATATTACATTGCAGTATTGCACATGTAATTAGTATGTATTCTGTTTCCACTTTCTAGGGTATTGGCAACATTTACCACATTAAAGCTCTATAAAACAAGAAAACAGGAAACCTGCATTTGTAATTACTATATCTACCTGATGCTTCAGTGTAGCTAAACTTTTGGTATGCATTGGAGATTGTGGAATGACACCATTTGATGGGGGAATTCCAATTAGACCACATAATATAACCTGTCATACATTCAACACATCAAATATGTCAAAACTACTATCACATTGGACAGATCATGAAACCACACTCCATCTCAAATTGCAAATGAAAAACAAAGAGCATTAGGCAAAAGGCAAAGAGCCAAAGGAATTTCACATAAAGCAAGCGATCAAATACAGCAAGGGAGGATCACGTACCATGAATCCCAAAAGAAGTAAATCATAATGGAAGGAAGGTGGTTTTCTTAAATTGAACTCTTTCTGCTGAGCAAGCTGAGATGCCACACTATGGTCAAAATAATAAAGCACAGCAATCATTGTCGCCGGAATAAATGCTCCAATAATATAGAGAACTGGCACATTCAGCATGTCCTGTCAGTGTTTGTGAATATATTTCATGAGAAATTTCCATGAAAGTACAGAGAATATAAAAATGAAAGAGAATTTTAATCATCATATATCCTAACAATAAAATAATTTCGACTTATTAACTAGCCATGCCTTTATGACAGTCCAGTTTTCAAATGCACCAGGGGACCATGGATTTGGACTGAAGAGGCGCCTAGGGATTCCTTTTGGAATACTTCCAGCTGGTATATATGAAGCAGCAGTCCATAATAGAACCATCAATGGGACACCATAATCTGCTATGAAGCCCCGTAAACATCCTGTGATAAGGGGAAAATAAATCTAAGAACTACCCAAAAATATAATGAAAGGACTTGGTCAAAAGATGAGTTGAAAGTATATATTTTCAGTTATTTTGAAGTAAAAAGCAAATCCTTAGTCCATGTTGATCAGATTTAATCTCACTTCCAAATCCAATGTAAATTTGGTGGGTCTATAGAAATTCATAAAGCTGACATATTATGGGTTTAAGCCTTTCTTCATGGATCAAAGAGAAGTCATCTTACAAAATCAATTTTAAGAGTTGCAACAAATATTTCATCTAGGCAGAAGTTTGTATCTTTCGAAGTTCTAAAGCTTTAAAGACAATTTTTGGAATGTTCTTCAGGCAGTGTTCAATTTACAGATCACTAAGTCCAGTTAGTAACATCAAAAGCAACACTTTCCTAGCTGAAATCCATGACCCCACAACAACATTGTTCCTACTGCAGCTGTTCTCTTTTAAGGCCAGCTTTTCTGTTATTTTAAAGTATTTTTGTCACAAAGGAGGCCTTACACAGACCTGAGAAAGGAGGAAGCAAAAGGGGATGGAGCAGGGATCAAATCAAATCCATGACTTCAAGCACATCGCTGTAAAGACCATAGTTGGAGCCATGTAAGTTATTACTAATTAGCTTATTGGCTTCTGGTATACTTGTTTCAAAAAATTAAAAATGTATATCATAATGGAGGAACTTAGTATTTGTGAAACTTTTGTCAACAATCAGCCAATTACTATAAGGAAAAGAAAATTTTATGCTTTCTTACTTGTTGTCATGTTGATGATGCAAATGTACATGTGATTTGAAACCTCTGTAAAATTTCACAAGTCATACCTGATCCATATCGCCAAGACCTTGCTTTTCGGCTTCTCAATGCTGTTAGCAGAAGGCCAAAGGACAGAATCAAAGCAAACATGCCATTTCCAAATCTCCATGAAGATTGAAACTCAGTTGATGTTAGGTTTGCCCTCTCGGGTATATGAAACTCATTAATGAGTCCCTGTTAAACCCAATTAGAAAGCATCTTTATCAGTTGAATTAATTGCCATCCAATATTATATCATAAATCATCTTAAAAATTTTCATTACTTCATGCTACAACCACATAATCATTTGTGCTAAAAAAACTCATTGAGTCAATATTACTGTCAGATAGAACATAAAGATGCCTCTTACTTTAATAGCCTCTTGCATGAAGAGCATTGCAATAAGAAGGCCGAATAGTTCCCCTGCTAGGCGAGTGAACCTGTTGATGATGGAGCAAGCTCCTAAGATAGCAAGTAGGAACAACAAGAGGGCAGTCCACATGCACACCCTGCCCATCAATAAATTCACGAGGCAAATAAGTTTCTTATTAAAGGCAACTTGCAGACAATAACTTGTCATAAAAATTAAAGCCAAGAACATAAATGACTACATGGATATACCATCCAGTCCACGCTAGAAAGAGCTTCGAACCCAAATCTGGTCTATTTTTCGCGAAGTTGAACATGAATGTATACATTATTACAGTTGGTTCTGCTACTCCAAGAATCAACAAAGGCTGGCCTCCTATAATAGAGTGTATAATTCCACACAATGCAGTAGATGCTAATGTTTGCACTGCAGTGAGTACTCCATCTGGAAATTGTTGGAACACAATACATCAAATTTGAGGTGCACTAAATCACTATCTCTGCATTTATCTAATCATAAACAAGACTCCATTCAAGGATAAAACCAAAAAAACTTACGGGATATGAGTAACAAGAAGTAAAGTACCTGTATCTCTTTCCAATTGTTCTCCAAATGAAATAACTGGAATTGCTGATGCAAAAAATATATATGTTGTAGGGGCTAAGATCCTAAGAAACAGCAGTTTTAAGTACCAAGTTAACCTTCCAATCGAAAGAAAATGTATGAAATTAACACAGCCAAAAGTGTATTAACTGATAATCTTAATTAAAGGATTACCAACTGAACAAAAAGAAAAGCTTTCTATCTTCATTAAAGTATATGTCATGGCATCAAAGTTCACTACCCCAATTCTAATAAAATAAGTGAGTGTTTTTTGCGACATAGGAAAGATGTACCTGAAGCCTGCGGTGAGACCACCAATCCAGTCTTGCTTGTAACATACCAATCTCCGTTTAAGATCATTTTTAATTCCACGAAATGGAACAAATGTCTCTTCCATAATTTCTTAACCAGGAGTTATGGCCAAACAACAAAACTTTAGCAGGATTTAAAATTTCTTTGATGCTTCAACAACAGTACATAGTAGCAGAGAAGTACTGTACTTAATCAATTAATCTTGGCTGTTATCAATGCAAGTTCTATGAGCAACAGAGGAATTAAGAACAATAATTACACTTCTATGGTAAAATAAGCAAGCAACTAGACATCATTGTATTTTATAAGATAAAAACCCCTTAAATAGAACCCCAACAGCAACAGATTTACTTCATCTAGCCTAATGAAATATGACATAAACTTTGGAAGTTACAAGGAATAGACCAAGCTTCAAAACCCAGTTGGAGTCTGCATAACTGAATGATCAAAATGACAAAGGATGGGATGATTAAGCAGAAAAAATAGGAACTTTCACAATATAAGGAGACAGAAAGATTGAGGGGGGAAATCCAAATACATTAACAAAGCCTTGAATGAAAAGTACATAGATGACAATGAGAGTAAAAACTCAAAAGGGAACTAACGAAACGTTGTAGTCATTGCAAAAGAGCAAACTTTGCACAAAAAGGAAAACTAGTGTTAAAAATGAAAGGAGAAAAAAGTGGGGTTAAGGAAAAGGAATGCAGAGAAGCCCAGAAAAGCCAACAATAAAACAACTAAGGTTTTAATGGGTATTTATTTAGAAGGAGGGGATTTTTGCTGCAAATGAAAGTGAAGGGAGAAAGAGAGAAGTGTTGGAAATGTGTGTGTCTCTCTCTCTATATGGTTTTGGGTGAAAGTTGGAGAAAAATGCGGTAAAGGTTTTGGTAAATGTTTCCATTTCAAAAGACATGACATGATTAGGAGAGACTACTACTACTACTAGTCATATATTTTGCCAGTTTATGACAAGCTGGCTCGGAAAGAAATATCTCACTCCTTCTAACTCCCCACCTTCTCAACACACACATATTACGCTATACAGACTACAGTGATGAAGTTTATATTTGTTTACCAATTTTTTTTTTTTTGAGAAATACTACTCTCACCTTACATAAGATAGTTATCTTATTTTCTCTCACTTCGAAAATCGTACCCCTCTTTTTTCTTTTTCTTTTTCTTTTTTGCTTTTAAATGGTGGACCGTACTTGGATTCTCTCTGTTACTCTCGTGTAACATGCGAGTAATATTCTCATTTTTTTTACCAATTATTATATGGAAAAGTTATATTTACAAATTTTTTTGTTTATAAATTTTTACAAATTATCGATCATAATACAATCAAGAGTGTATAACCACTTATATTTAGTGTAATTTGTAAAAAAAAAAATTATAAACATATCATTTCTCTTCTTACCTAGCACATATTATTTGAGCATGAATTACTCATAGTAGATAATCTCCTTATATAATAGTATAGTTTCATAATATAGTATGGGGAAAATATTTTTCATTTTAAAGAATACTTTGTGTCATTTTAAGTGAAATTATTGTGTTGTAGTGCATATTTAATAATTTTTTATATTTTTGCTCCTCCTATTTTTGTGGAGTAAAGAGAAAGTTAGGGAACGTTTGTTACCCAGATTATATTGGAATTCCTTGGAAAGATTGATAGAGAGAATTAGAATGTCATGTTTGGTACCAATAAATGCAAATCTTTCCCCAATAAAAGTTTGCTTGGTTTTTGTTACTAGCGTTTGGTAGAGGAGAAATTTTTTTTTGTTCGGGAATCTCAATTTTTAAAAATATGATTTTTACATTCAATTTACGATAATATCTGAAATTTAAAAATTCAGAAAATTTTAATTTCCCGGAAATCCTCAAGAATCCCGCCTACCAAACGTAGAAAATCTATAGATTAGGTGGTATAATTTTTTGCATGGGGAAGTAAAAAGCAACCAAAATAATATTGACCAAATTAACCCTACTTTTTGTGTACTAATTTTGAATGAAAAAGTAAAAGTTGGGTTTCACCAAAAAAAAAAAAAGAAGTAAAAGTGGGGTTATGTTTGTAAAATAACCTCATATTCCTACTACTATTTCACAATCAACCAAACATCAACTCAGTAAACTTAATCAAATATTCCCGGGACAAATTTTGGTTAACCAAACATATTTTTGTAACTTATTCAGAAAAAAATATTTCTCATCACATTCCGACAAAATTGTTTTCTCGGTAAATTTTTATTTTCTCCTGTACTAAATACCCCCTTAGAGTATTATGGAGGAGAGAGAAAGTTAAAAACTACCAAAACACAATAGTTTCATAAGGAAAAAAAGGTTTGTGTTTTAAAAAAAACACAAACTTGTGTCCTTTTAGAGCATGTTTGGATTCTCTCTTTTTTAAGTTATAAGCTACTTATAAGCTAAAGCTAACAAAAAGAGCTTAAAAAAAAGCTAAAAGTTGTTTGATAATTACATAATTTTTTAGCTTAAAAGCACATATTTTAAGAAAACTATCTCTTTATATCTTTATAGCTCTTCATTTTTTTTTTAAAAGCACACAATTCACGAAAAGCATATAAGAGCATAAAAAAAGCTCCTCCTAGAAGCTTTTAGTTTTTAACTTTTTTCTTCGTTATAAAAAAAAGAGCTTTTCATTATAAGAGCTTTTCTCAAAACCTATTTGGCCTAGCTTATGCTTATAAGTGACTTCTAACTAAAAAAAAAGAAAGGATCCAAACAGGCACTTAATGTTTGACACTATGTCTTACCAGTACCAGTAAGACAACTATAATATGAAAAGTAATTTTTTTTTCTGCGTCTTCAGTCACTTAACCTGACATGGAGAGAGAAAAAAAAGTAATTTTTATATTATAACTATATTTTACAGGTAAGATAGTGTTAAAAATTAAAAATACATAATTTGTGTCCTTTAAAAGGACATACAATTAACCTTTTATTTAAAATGACAAAAAATTGTGTCATTTAAAATAATAAAAACTTTTCTCATATATTAAAGAACACAATTTCGTGTCATTTTAAATGAAACAATAGTATTTTGATATATATTTATGGGTAATATATTGGTCATGTATCAGGAAAACACAAAAATTTCCTACACACACGAATTGGGAGAGAGAAACAAATGTAATGTGAGAGAAACAAGTTTTAATGGGAGAGAGAAACAAATGTAACGTGAGAAAAACAAGTTTTAATGGTCCCCACATCAATTCTTGTGTGTGCAGTAAAACTTTTTGTTTTCCTGTTATATAACCAATATATTATCCTATATTTATTCGCCTTTTGCATTCTCTCCTCCACAAAATTAGAAGGAGAGAGAGCAAGAATATAACAAAGAAGAAAGAAAAAACAACAACAAATATATACCAAAATATTATGTGAACAATCGAACATGGGTAGATAATAACCAATAATATAGATGATAACCAACAATCGGATATATATGGGAAGGTTATATTTATAAATTTTTTGTTTACAAACTCTTACAAACTACACTAAGTATGACCGGTCATGCTTCAATCAAGAGTGTATGACTGGTCATACTTAGTGTAATTTATAAAAAAAAATTGTATACTTCCCCATATATATATGAAAAAAATATTTCTACAGTCACTTTAGATAAGGTTATCTACAGCTACCATTTACAACTATGTTCTCTCGGGAGAACATAGTTATAACATTAAAGTTGTTTTTTTTTCTCTCTTCACGTCAACAAATAAGATTTGAAAAGTAACTGAGGAGAGAAAAAAAAAGTAATTTTAATGTTATAACTATGTTCTCTCGAGAGAATATAGCTATAAATGGTAGTTGTAGATAACCTTATCTAAAGTGGCTCATATATATATATATATATATATATATATATCTTATGGTATCTAGAGAACAAATTCATATCCATTAGGTTCATCTGTTCTGGATTACTTTAATATCCATATGCATATATATAAAAGTGGTTTTGCGCCAAGTTCCATCAATGAAAATGGGAATAATGTCAATTTGTGAGAAAAGATCTTGAATATACCATTAGGTATAGTGGTATACAAGTTGATACATTTCATATCGTATAAAGATTTCATGCATAGATTCTGAAAATTATTACATAATAACCAGTAGTTCGGCTATAAATTTATAGGAAATAATAGTCTCATGTTGCATAAGAGAATTATTTTATATTATACACTCATAAAATTTCATGTCAATTTTTTCTATTTCTTTTTACATTGTGGACTTCACATATTTGTGTCACCCACATGAGAGTATTATATTATGTAACATGAGATTAGTAAACCCCTAAATTTATCTTGTATATTTAATTTCATCTATATTATTGTAGGAATTCCTTCGTTTAGTCACATTTTATTTTAGTTTCAGATATAATTATCATTTAATTAACATTAAATACACAAAAATCTATATAATTAAAAAAAGAACCTTTTACTGATTCATTCTATATGAGTATTCTCTTTTACGTGTGTATTATATATTTTTTTCACGCTATCACATAATAAAATAAATAGCCACGCATTTGAATATTTATTAAAATTAAATAAAGATTACAAGTTATTTTATACACAATTCATAATATTAATTTATTTGTGTAGCTAAAAAATATTTTTTTTCCTGCATTCCATTATTTACTATATTTTTTTTCAATCTTTCATCTCCTTATTTCTCAACCGCCCTCGCAATTTATTGTTTATTTGTTTATAGAAGAAAAAGAAATGTAATGCATGCACATTTGTGCGTCCCTCATTTTTTTATTCATCCTAAGAAACCAGACACATAACAAATGGAAAATTAAATTTTATAATAAGAAAATGTTAAAGGGTAGGGACTCGAGGGAGAATGTCCAAGAGTCTTGAGCAAAGGGAGAATGTTGGCTTTTTATACGTCCAGTTACTTTTAAATAGTAAAAAATTAAAGAAAATTATGTTGCTCGTTTTTTGTATTTTTACATGCTTTATTTTGTTAAATTTGTTTTATCTTCTCAGCGATTTACCAAAAATTACAATATTCTTTTTTGTTTTTGGAAATTACAATATCTTTTCTAGCTTTATAGTGAGATATATTCATAACAAACATTGATATTTTGCTT